CCACTAAAACCTCTGCTGGGCCCCTTGCGGCTATTACGAGGGCGTCCCGGGAACCGCTTGCGCATTACTTCCGGGATGCCCTCAGCCGCAGGGCGGGGAAAACCTAAACCCCGCCCCCTTCCCGGGCCGCTGTTTCATCACGACCGTACGGGGGCCCCCACGTCCGGTCACACATCACCTGTAGGGGCGCTATTGGTCGGGTCCGGTCCCGTCCGGACCCGGCCCACCCCTACGCTCCCGACTCCTCTTTCTGTGACACGACTGTGTCACAGAAGGAGGTAACGGCGGACCAGCCCTCGTCTCCCCCAAGCATGGCCCTAATGAGGGCCGAGGGAGAGAGGTCCGCTCTCACCACATCAATTAGGACTCGGCGCTCCACATCCCAGGAGGAGCATTCATCCAGGGTGTGTTGCGCCGAGTCCACCTCAGCACCACAGTGGTAGCAGCGGGAGTTAGGCTCCCTACCAATCCTGTGCAGGTACTCACCGAAGCATCCATGTCCGGTAAGTACCTGCGTCGTCCGGAAGGACAGCTCTCCGTGGGCCCTGTCTATCCACTCTTGCAGGTAGGGTCGGATGGTCTCGGCAACCCTCATTCCTGATCGGCCCGTCGCCCCCTCCAGGTGGATGCTCCACCTTAGGAGGAGGCGTTGACGGGCCTGCGCTTTCACCATTCCAATGGCCCTGGCCAGATGTTCAAGGTCTTCCCCGGCACGGAGCTCCCCGACACGCCGATAGGTCTCGGCGTGCATCTGTGCAAGGAGCCCCAGCGGGGGGAGACCGGCCAGAGCCGTGGCGGCCATATGCGACGTCGTCCTATAGGACCGGGCAAGGCGAATGGCGACCCACCGCTGCAAGCGGTGTGCCAGTGCAGTGATACGCTGGTTGGTCGCCATCGCACTCGCCCAGACCGGGGCCCCGTACTGGGTCATGGACGACGCCGGCAAACAGCCGCCGTGCCTTCCTTTTTAGGCCACCGAGGTTGGGCAGGAGGCAACCCAACATATTGGCCACCCTGCCCAACTTGGGGGCCAGAACGCTGTTGTCAACTACGCTTACTTTATTTTTTGCACTATGAACAGACGAGGATTCACTCATAGAATATGATGTTGGCTGCAAAGCTTTGATGTAAAGTTTGCTGATGTAAGTTTGTTTCTTGAAGCAGCTCTGAACTTGATGGTCTTCTGTTCCAGATCGATTAAGGAGTAACGCCACCCTTAAGGGCCTAAAATCATACCTAAATTTGGGAATTTTTTTTGGGCAAATGAATAGCTTTATTTAAAAAAACACAAAAAGCACTTTATTGCACATATATTTAACTATAGAAAAAAATTTTTTTATTCTATATAATTGTTGCAAATGGCGGCGTACTGGCACACATCCGCAATCGACTTTTTTTTGGAGTCGTCATTTTGCGTGCACGATTTCTTCGAGATAGCTTACGCTAGAACAAAAAATCAAAAATTTTTATTTTCTACATTGTATGAAGTTATAAAGTACATAGCCGTTTTAAAAAATATCCATTTTTTGCAAAATGACAGCTATACTTAGAAAAAATAATTTTTTTAGTCAAAAATGTGATACAAAAATTGAGATTGCAAAAAGAGTTTTCAATATTTCTCAAAAATCCTAAGTATTTTGTTGTACGATATATAGAACAAGATTATGTTAAGATTTCAAGCCAATTGGATAAAAATTGTAAGAATAGCGTTGCACGCAAATTTGAAAAAGTGTGTTTTAAGAAAAACGCGTTTAAAGTTTTGGTAACTGATATTTTGCATATAACATTGAGGTATGTTAATTAACCTTTAATCAGCGGTACCTGTACCTGTCCTTCGACGTAGCTGCCTCATCAGCTTTTTTTTGTTCTAATAATGAAGCTCTTCTCGCGTCTTTAGCCTTGTCTGTGAGGCCCCGTTCGGCGAATATGACGTGACGCGCATCCGTTTCTTGACAGAAATCATAACAAGTTGGACCTACAGCGAGGTTTAAAACCATTATAACTTCCATTATTTTCATTATGCTGTTATAACCGTCATTATAATAGCAAGTAGTCAAATCTGTTACTATGTCAATGACTTTTTTGCCACTTGCAAAAGATTTCGGAACCATTCATTTTTGCACGATTTTCAGCTGAGTACTGATGGCGTCGTATACATATAGCTGACTCAATAGAGGTAGTGCCATCTATATTATAATATTCAAAACTATTTTTCGACATATAATAGGCTTATATACTTGCCCAGCGGAGAGAAAGCGGAGCTGCTCTGAATTACCTGCAGCTACTCACTGAAGCGAGTAAAAGGACGCTTCATTCAATCGGCTCTGGCACTATGCCTAAATTTATACAGAGTGTTCTAAAACCACCGGAATTGCTCTTAATGGTAGATTCCTTATGTGGCGTCTCAGAGAACGAGACGCCACGCAAGGTGCATCGCTTCCAGTTAAAGGGACGCTTACGGAGCGCACCTTACGCACTGTCCTTTCCAAGAACCGCGAGGCTCGCGACGCGTTTCCGAGAAACGCGGCGGAGTGCGATAAGCTCGAGCCCGCGAGAATTCGCGGAAGCGCGGACCTGCACGAATTCGGAGAATCGCGAGCCTCGAGATTTTAGAAGAGGGGCAATGGTTAATGCAAGCCCGCGACGAATTCGCGGAACCACCGGACCTACATAAATTCGAGGAATCGCGAGCCTCGAGATTTTAGAAGAGGGGCAATGGTTAATGCAAGCCCGCGACGAATTCGCGGAACCACCGGACCTACATAAATTCGAGGAATCGCGAGCCTCGAGATTTTAGAAGAGGGGCAATGGTTAATGCAAGCCCGCGACGAATTCGCGGAACCACCGGACCTACATAAATTCGAGGAATCGCGAGCCTCGCGATTTTCGCAGAAATGTAAAGCACCAATACTCCACACAATTAAAGAACGGGAGTATAAATAGCGGACAGAAACGCCGGAAGATCAGACTCCGCTCTCGACCTCCACCGAGGAACGATCTAAGAGATTAATAAGAGCAAAAAGGCAAATAAGAGCCAACTCTCCTCTAAGGAGAAATCTCGCAAGCTATACGAGTCCTAGGGCGTCATCCTGAAGCCCGACGAGAGACAGCCTCAGGGCGAGGCTAGAAATACCGCCCGACTACAGCTCCGCGAACAATATCGCGAGTTGTTCGGGAGCGACAGCGAAGACAATGCTGACAAGGAACCTGTAGAACCCGAGCTCGGCTCTCCGGCTTCCTCCTGGTCCTCCCTGCCGGCGACGCCGTCTCCGACTCATATACCCCGCACACCATCTCCACGGAAGCGATCGCGCACCGGGGTATCAACCAGGCGGCCCGCGTTAACGCCGAACGAGGGCCCAGGAGGAGAAGCAGCGGAAACATGCCGTCCATGGAGACTGACACCCTTGTGCCTCTCTCCAGTTAAGTGCACCCGACCACCACTGGAGAGGCTCACGACTTGGGACGTGAGAGCCCGCCGACCGCTCTCACCCCGGTACCTGTCTCCACCAAAGAAGGTGTCGTCCACGGCCCAGGTTCACCAAGACACGCAGACGTCGCCCAGGAAGCCGACTCTCGCACCAGGCGTCGTCAGGATCCCGACGACGCCCAAGAATCCAGATCCACGCGTCAGAACACCATCACCACGTAAGCTCGCACGGACGGGAAGATTCCGAGCTCGCGGCGGCTCGCCGAAGAAGCCAGCGCTATTCAGGACCGTCCGGAAGACAGGTCGCCTTCCAAGGATCCGGCCCTGGAAAGGAGCCTCGACAACGCAATAGTACACTTACATACAGACACACACACACCATCTGTACTCCAAATAAAAATGTTCTTGTTTCCGTAACGGAGCATAATTATTGTGTGTACCTTCCCACTGCGAGCGCAATAATAGAAGGCTAAGATCGCATGAACGCTACTTAACGCAACCACACCTTACAATATTTTAAGAAGAAAATTCTAATACAAAAATGTCGAGGCTATAATAGCTTTTAAACGGGAAGCGATTACATTTAACGAATAACAGGGCTGAGATTTCGTGCGCTCAGGTACTGAAAAATGACAAATGCAAAAAGTGCTTCTATTAATGGGGCGCTCTTTTTATGATATTATTGCCATATAAATTTGCAATATGTTTTCGCTTCTCTATGTATTGCATATTAATACATTTTTTCACAAATAAAAGATATAAAAACTAAAGGCATATAAAAAATAATTCAAGTAAAAATTTGCATATTTCAACTTGAGCTGTCGAAGTCATCGATTAATATTACCATGAAGGTATCTATGCTACGCTGTGCGAGACAAATAAATTATAATAGAATTAATAGTTGTTTATTTTGTATTTTAGAACATTTTGTAATGTTCGTAACAAAATACAAATTGCAATGGTTTTAGTAAAAATCAATTTAAACAATAATTGTAATTCAAACGTATTTAATAAACCTTAATTTAACATACGTCAAAATGCGACTCTTGCCGCACAAGTGTACTCACTACGGTTTCCAGAGCGTAGAGCTCCGACTCAAAATGTAATTTTGTGGTTGATAAATCGGACACGAGAAACAGGATCTGTAATATCCCAACACAAAAATATTGGCGCCGGACGTGAACGATACGCCCGTACAAATGAAAATGAAGAAGCAGTTTTAGAAATGTGTGAAGAAGATTCATCTACAAGTGTACGCAAAATCAGCCGAAGATTAAATATCTCGAAGAGTTCAGTACAACTCATTTTAAAAGAAAATAGGATGCATGCTTATCATTTCACCAAAGTACAAAATTTATTACCGCAAGATTATGCATGCAGAATTAATTTTTGCACATGGTTACAAAAACCGGATTTTATTGAAACAATTTTATTTACGGACAAATCCTGCTTTACACGCGAGGGTTCTTTTATTACGCACAATTCTCACATTTGGAGCAATGAAAATCCACACGAATATCGAATTCAAAACTATCAACACCGTTTTAGTATAAATTTGTGGGCTGGTATACAAAATAATTTAATCGTAAGTTTTCTGTTTATTATTTGTATTATAGCTTATGTAACAAAAAAATGATGTAATATTTTGGATGTAAGGTTTGTTTTAGGACAATGTATATCTATGTAATATCTATAACATATTAAATTACAGATTGGACCGTTTAAAATGCCCATAAGACTTGATGCCAATATTTATTAAAATTTTATAAATAATAATTTGCCAGAATTGTTGAAAAATATTCCACTAAATATTCGGCAACGGCTTGTTTTTCAACAAGATGATGCACCACCACGTAATGCGAGATGTGTACGCCAATCTTTGAGTGAAAAATTTCCGGATAGATGGCTAGGTTGCGGTGGTCCTATAAGTTGGCCAGCACGCTCACCCGATCTGACGCCTCTGGATTATTTTTTATGGGGTCATATTAAAAAATATATGTACAAGGAACCAATTAATACTCGCGAGGAATTACGAGACAAAATTGTTGAAGCAATCGCCACAACGACACCAAACATGATTAGAAACGCAACAAGCAGTCTACTGCGACGCGCACAATTGTGTATTGAATGCGATGGGGGACATTTTGAACATTTATTATAAAAAATATTTTAATTTGTTATTTAATCTGTTAAACTGTTTTGTTGTTATTAAAATTCATTAAATATGTTAAAAGTGTTAATTTTTTAAAGTGTGTTAAATTAAGGTTTATTAAATACGTTTGAATTATAATTATTGTTTAAATTGATTTTTATTAAAACCATTGCAATTTGTATTTCGTTACGAACATTTCAAAATGTTCTAAAATATAAAATAAACAGCTATTAATTCTATTACAATTTATTTGTTTCGCACAACGTAGCATAGACACCTTCATGGTAATGTTAATCGATGACTTTGACAACTCAAGTTAAAATATGCAAATTTTTACTTAAGTTATTTTTTATATGCCTTTAGTTTTTACATCTTTTATCTGTGAAAAAATGTATTAATATGCAATACATAGAGAAGCGAAAACATATTGCAAATTTATATGACAATAATATCATAAAAAGAGCGTCCCATTAATAGGAGCACTTATTGCATTTGTCATTTTACTGTACCTGAGCGCACGAAATCTCAGCCCTGCCATTCGTTAAATGTAATCGCTTCCCGTTTAAAAGCTACCCTTATAGAAATATCATACTAAGAAATACTGAAAAATTATTAGTGATTAAATATTACCAGTAATTCAGTAATTTTTTGGCCAATACGTAATTTCTGGTGAATACTAATAATAAAATCACTGTTAAATATTGATAGTAATCAAATACTGAGAATTATTATGCAAAGGTGAAAAATGAGAAAATCATAAAGTGTACAAAAATATACTTATATTTCTAATTTTCTCATGTCTCATAAACTACTAGATATCGAAGGTTGTCAACACATTCCAAACTTTCATGAATCCTCCTGCGATAATTTCGATCCCAAGCGGTATACCGCTGGCACCCATCCATGTTCTGACCGCATTAAACTGTTGCTTAATCTGACGATCGAGCGCGCACGCAGTGAATCTGATGACTCCAACGATGTTCTTACAATTCATGCTTATATAATATATCCTTATAGTGTTCACATTATATTATAACGTACCTAGCAAACACCAAATAATAGTTATATAATTTTTACTTGTTGTTTATTGGATAATTTGTTGATAGATATTGAAACAATGCAATATTAGATATGCGATGAATATTGATGTAATGTATTAGGTGGTAAACTTAGTTTCTGCGGCTCACAGTTAGATGACGTTAGTTGTAGGTGTAATTTATTTTGACATCTGAAACTGGCTGCATTTTAGAGGTTAGACATTTGTCAATAAAATTCAGTGCAAAGAGATTCATTTAAGCGAGCAGTGTTATTTTTTCTTTTGATTAA